AACTGACCTGAACACCACACAGCCAACTGGGTGGCAGTGGTGGCCTCAGGGGGAATTGCTAGGGGAAAGGCTGGGAAGGGGTGGTCAGAAGGACTCCAGCTTTCTCTGTAATGTCACAATTTTGAAGAGAAGCGGGTCTGGATTGGAACCTCAGCTGTGTCACATACTTAGGCTTTTAACTCTGGGCACTTTGTGACCCTCTTCAGGCCCCAGTTGGTGGGGATGTGAACCTCTACCTGCCAGGGCTGACTGGTGGAAGAAATGAGCTCGTGTCTGTGGAGGGGCTGACATCATGTCTGGGCACAGGAAGGGGCTCATATAAATATCAGCTGAAAGCAAAGGATAGGGTCAACTGGGAGGCACGTAGCCTAGGCTGCAGGTCCCTCTGGGGCTGTATTTCCTTGGGCATCCTGCCAGGACTACTGGGCACCTAGATAGAGCCCTGGCAAGGCCCCAGCAAGTGAGGGCTGTGGTCCAGCTGGGCCAGTGCTTGGCCTAGCCCAGTGCCATCTCAGGACATGAGAGAAGCCATGTTGTGTTCTGTGACCCCGAGTGGGGAGATCGGGAACATGGCACCAACACCTGCAAAGATCTCCAAAAAACAACAAATTATGAATGCCTTGTTGCTGCTGGCTGGGTGTGGGAGACTTTCTCCCAGTCACCCTCTAGGCTGTTAGTGACCATTTAAGTCTCCTGAATTGTCACTGGAATGCTTGGAATCCTGAGAGGTCTGTGTCCTTGGCGGTCAGTTTCTGCTTGGGTGGCCTGGAAAGCGATCCCTCAACTGGACAGTGAAGACGATAAATTGGCCCTCAAAACTCCAGATGGTGTTGCGTCAGTGAAGTGAATTGCTGGCTGCTAGGCTAGATGGGATTCCAAATAGATTCCCTCGGTCCGGGCTACTGAGTGCTCCTGCCCACCCTCCACACTTCTGAGTTTCAGCACGGCCCCAGCATGCCCCAGAGACGTATCCCTTCAGAAGGTCATGGCTGCCATGGCCACATCCTCCCACGCTCCGCACCCTGCACCTTCCATCAGGCCTCGGCCACCCCAGTGCTGGCCCCCATGTCCCATTCTTTCCATGATTCCCTGGTAGTTTCAGGTATAGGCCAGAATCTCTTGAGGGTGGGTGGGTGGGGGTCCGCTCCTCTGGGTTCCCAGCATGGAGCCCAGGGTCTGCTGTAGAGCCTGAGACAGATCCTAATAAAATCCTACAGCCCAACCTCCCCAGCAGTGGGGCTGCTCCCTCATCTGGAGAGTGAATGACCATTCTGTAACAGATCTTCTCATTCCTGAATTTTCCAAACTAGAATCTGAATGAACTTTCCATAACACAGACCTCATCACGTTAGGCCCTCCTCATGAAGACTCTTCCATGCTCCCAAGGCAGCTGCCTTGGGGGCCTGCTCTCACTCTCTGAGGTAAGCCCTTCTGGACTCCCTGGTCTCCTTTCCCTCCTCCCCCATTTGTCTAGTTAGCAGTAATGGCTTTGCTCCTCTTTGGCTTCCTCTTGGTGGAATCTACACCTGTTGGAATAGGATTTTAGAAATTGTGATTCCCAGGCTCCAGCCCTGGCTGGTTGCCTATATAGCACCCCACTATTCATCACCCCCCATTGCTATAGTTCAGGGGACACTGAATAAAGACTATCATTTTCTCCCATCCACACAGAACTGCTTAATACCATCTATAGACTCCATCAGCTACTCTCAACTTTCCCAAGCCCCCCTTAACACAGCTTTGTCCTTTCTTCCCTGAAAAAAAATCGTATCACTTTGAGGGGCCCCTGGGTGGCTCAGTCGGTTAGGCCTCTGCCTTTGGCTCAGGTCATGATCTCAGGGTCCTGGGGTCGAGTCCCGCACTGGGTTCCCTGACCCTCAGGGAGCCTGCTTCTCCCTCTGCCCTTCACCCTGCTCATCTTCTCTCTCTCTCTCTAAATAAATAAAGTCTTAAAAAAAAAATCCACTTTGAGCCAGTCAGTTCCTATAGGCTTTGACTGAGATGACTCATAATCACTTCTCTGTCGTCGGGGTATGCCTTTTTGTATTTGCTGCAAGGCCCAAAGTTCAGGACTCTGCAGCCTCCTCTGGTCTCCTCCCTTCCCTCCCAGGGGACGCGGTCACTGCTGATCTCCAATCTCGCCAGCTCCCTCTCTTCATCTTTCAAACCCTTTCATTAGTGACCTTGGGATTCCTTCCTGGTCCCAAATCCATGAACCTCGTCTTGTCTGGTGGCCTCTTACTTGCTCCTCATCCACCTACCCAGCTGCAGACTCCCTCAACCAGCAAGTTTTCCATTTGAAAGCTAGCTTTTTCTCTTCCCTAACACAGACATCTGTGCACCTGATGACTGCGGAAGCGTGGCCTTCTGCAAACCCTCACCGAGAGTCCACTATGTACCTGGCCCGCGGGGCCAGTGGGACAAGGGCCTGATCCTTCTGACAACCCGTCCTTCATTGCCAGTGTGGGGTTTCTCCAGTCCCTTTGAGAGCTCCTTGACTTTTTAAGGCAACTGCCGAGTTGGCCTTTACTCCAGTCTTTCACCATAACTCCATTTCTAAATCAAGACACACCGTGTGATGAAGTTTGGGGAGTGTTCCTCACCAGGAAGTGAAAAAATAAAACTGCAAGGCAGCATCTGTTTTGATCGCTTTATTGGAACAGGATGGTAACGCAGAACATGGGTTTGGGGGCCCACAGCAGAAGCTGCCCTCCTCTAGACAGCATGTACCCCACTTCTGCAGCCAGCAGAGGCTCCACAGAACCTCCAGAAGGGTGGGGGCAGCTCAGCCCAGACCCAAAGGAGGCCCCTGCCATGCCAGGAGCAGGGTGCGTGGGCACACGCTGGGCCGGAACCCTCACCAGCTGAGGCTGCCACCAGCCAGACCGCATCTTATGCCTCCAATTCCTTGGCTATGACTTAAGAGACCCACCTGCCTCAGGGAAGGGATTCTGGGGCTTCTAGAAGGAACCCAGCCAAGAGATTGAGCACCTCTGAGGGTCATCGGGGAAAATCATGCCTTCAGGTGTTTTGGAAGATAAAACTGCTTAAAGCCCTTGCTACATGCCAAACACCCTTCTAGGGGCTGGATATACAAAGATCAGCAGATGTAGGCAGGGCCCATGGCCTCCTGAGTGGGGGAGACAGACAAAGGGGAGGGAACCACACAGATAACTGTAAATCACAAACACGCAGTGGCTTCTGAGGCCCGTTGTGGTGTGTGTGTGTGAGGGGGAGGCCTGACCTAATGGGGTGGGTCAAGGAAGACTTTCTCAAGAAGTGGTATTTCAGTCAAGCTCTCATGGCCAGATGGGTGGGAACAGCATTCCACGTCATGGAAACAGCTCTGTGCATGGCCCTACATCGGGTAGGAGCAGGAGGATAAATAAACAGAAAGGAGAAGACAGGAGGATCAGGGCAGAGAGACAGAAGGCAGTGTGGCTGGAGGAGGCTGGAGGGCCATGTCAGGCCTGAGCGCACAGAGCCGGTGGCCCAGGAGAAAGGTGGTCACCTGCGTGCCACATGTGACCACAGCAGCATTTTGCTTAGCCTGCTGTGGCTGTTGGGTGGGGGCGGGGGGTGAGCTGGGCAGAGGCCAGTGGGGAACGCAGAGAGCTGTCAGGAAGCTATCTCAGTCGTCCTGCCCAAGGGATGGCAGTGGGGCTGAGTGTGGACAGGACAGGAAGAGAGAATCAAGCAGACAGTTGGGACCTGTGCAGCTGGGACACAAGAAAATGGACCATGAGGAGCTGACCCTCAGGCTGCAAAGCCGGTGGCCGACTTCTGTGTGAGGCAGGGAAGCTGGCAGAGGAACAAGTGCAGGGAGAAGGTCACAAGTGTGGTTGCGGACAGGCTAGAAGAGAGGCGCCTTCGAAACACCAGGCGGAGAGGTCGGGCATGCGGCTGGGAGTGGAAAGCTCCCAGGGGAAGCCTGGGCTCCGGACACAAACCTGTGAGTAATTTCGTCACAGGTAAATCTCCTGGTGACTTCGGTTACGAGGGTACACACGAGGCCACAGTGGGACAGAAGTGAGTGAGAAGAGTGAGAAGAGAAGGCTCGTGGGACAGGCACACCTGACAGCAGGAGAGAGGACAGCCGCCAGCTGGCCCAGAAGGCCTGGGTGCGCACGAAGGGGGACACCACCGGGGTTCGTGGAACCAAGGGAGGAGTGGGCTCGGGGAGGGGACGTGGTTAGCGGGGAGAGTCCAAGCACACCCCGTTCCTCTGGGTGGCACCATCCCCACCGCCTTGGGTCTCTTCAACAACCCTGTGAATAGCAAAGGGGATCTTACCCTCTTGGGTGGGAGTCAAGAGCTGCTCAGAGAGATCACTACTGATCCACCCAAGGTCACACATCCAGCAGAGGACGCTGTGGGGTCAACTCCCCACCCCCCAATGCCAGCTCTCCCTCACTCTGGCTCATTACCTGCCCCCCTCCCTCACCTGCCCCCGCTGTTGGCTCTGCTCCACACCTTCTTGTTGATGGAAAGCACCAAAGAGGGCCAGTGCTGCAGCATGAAGGGACCCCTCAGGCCCCAGGTCGGAGCCCCGCTAAGAGAAGGGTGGGCTGAGTCAAGCCAACACCTTGCTCTCTCCTCAGCAGCAGTGCAATGTCAGGTTAAGGATGCGGGCTCGAGGCCTGGCTTTTTGCCCACACTCCCGTTCCTTCGTTCCTTCAACAACTATCATTTGAGGGCCTCCGAGGAGCCAGGCATGCGTGCTAGCTGAGCTCTACCTGGGGCGGACCCCAGTCTTCCTGGACACTCAGTTTCTACCTCTGTAAAGTAGGTTGGTGATTCTTGCCGCAGGTTCAAAGGATTACGTGAGCTCCTCCAGTTGAAGTGCTTAGCACACGGCAGGTGCTCAATGAAGGTGAATTTCCTTTCTTTTTTCCCCTTCCCTTGCCTTTCCTTCATCCCATAGAACCTGTGAGGGAGTGACAGGCTAACTCTTTATGGTGACACCCCTGCTGCGCTCAGAGGGCCTGCGTGTTCCTGCGTGTTCCTGCGTGGCCAAATCCACGCACACACCTGTGCACACATCCCCCCCATTCCAGCCATCTCGGCTCGAGACTTGGGGCCAGCCCCAACGTGAGCTTTGAACCCATGGGATGCAGCAGACCCATGCCCAGGAGAGTTCTGAACATCTGCTGGGAATGCTGAGCACCGGCCGGGCTGCTCTGCATAGACCTGAGGACCCCAGCACCCCGCTGTGTGCTCCAGAAGTCCCTAGACTCAGGCTAGGGTGCCTCCTTGGTGGCTCTGGGGGCTTCTGGGTCCTTAATGGCTCCAGGAGTCCAATCTTGGTGACCAGAAGCAGTATCTTGTGTGTCCTGGGCCGGGTCTACACAGCCTCGGAGGGCAGAGTCCTCCCCGCTTCCTGGGGTGGTGTCCTCAGTGGCTCTTTGGACAGCGTCTCTCCTGGCTGCTCCTCTGAGGGGCCTCTCATGTGTCTCTGGAGGAACCTACGCCCCCACAGACTCTTGCAGCAGCTTAGAAGGTTGCCGGAGCACAGCGTACTGGAGAGCGCGGGCTTCCTGAGGAGACACAAGCATAGGTCAGGGCTGACAGGACCATGGAGCAAGGCCAGCGGGCCCAGGGCCCACCCTCTGGCCTTTGCTTCCTCTGAGCCAGCCTGGGGAAGGGTGGGGTGGGGTGGGGGAACCCTTCCTTGGCCACCAGGGCAGCCCACATGCTGCAAGGACGTCGAGGGATGCATTCAGGAGACCTGCTCTCAGATCTCATGCCTGCTTGAGATATGCCGTGCGCCCCTTAACTCCTCCGAACCCTAGGTGGGGGTAAAAACAGCCACCTTTCCAATTCTTGGAAGGACTAAGTGTTATAAGATATGTACGAAAGTATGCCACACCTTGCCCGGCTCACACCAGGAGCCCAATTAGTGTTTGCTGTTTCTCACTCTTAGTGAAATGATTCCCGACATCTGCAGCAGGCCTTGCACGGCTTGAAGGGAGGCTGAGAAAAGACGCCCAGATTTACTCAGCCTTGCCTTACAATCAGTTGTAAGCACATCCGTCTCCATTAGAATGTGTGCTCCCCAAAGGCAAGGCACTAGCCCCCCGGCAATTACAGCTGGCGGATAATAGTTACTCAGTTAATGTCCGTGGAGTCAATCTGATCAAAGAATAGATCTCGAAGACTGAGCTAGCCAAAAGCTCGGTAGGAAAGTTTTTAAACAGGCTATTTGGCAGACATTTTGAGGAAGAAGAGATTTCCTTCCCTTCGGGGCATACAAAGTTCCTAGGAGCTATTGCCCGCTAAGGTACAGATAGCAGACCTGCTTTTCTCTTTAGCTGCTTTCAGCGAGTAAGAATTCCTTTATCATCTTTATTTCAAGTCAGAAGGAAAGGCTCAGTGTGGCGCTCCTGTGTCTTCCGCACCCAACACCTGCAGATCTCCCTTTAGAACAGAGAACAGGAGGCAGGTTCAGAGGTGTAAGCAGGCAACTGTGCCTGGTCCAACTTTGATGACATTGTTTTGTGTGATTGTATCCATGCTCATGAGTTCTTTCTGTTTTCCACCAGTGATACTGTTTCCATTTATAGTGACAGTATAAAGTTTCCTCATATATTTTAGTGAAAACAGCAAGTTGGTGTAGAGATTTAAGAGCATATAATATAGGTGGGACAAGACTACGGGCTGGACTGGATGGGGAAGGGAATGCACAAGCGACCGTGGTTTGGGGAGTGTCATTCTGAGTCCCCGACACATCCCAGCTTCCACTTAGCTCAAACACAGGAGAAGCTGAGTACTGCGTGGTGTCCCTAGAGACTGTTCCTGGGGTCTCTGCCGTCCCAAGACAAAAATCTGGCTTCAGCTCTGTCTAAAGCCAGGACCACTACCTCCTTTCTGGCTTCCCTGCCTAGGCTGGAGTGGTAGCTTTCCTCGTCAGTTTCAAGCTGGGAGCCAGCCACTGCTTGGTCCTGAGACACTGTGCTTCCTAGGATGTCCATGAAGATCACACCTGGCCTCAGCTCCCATGATCATTTGTGAAGGTCATGTGGCTGCCAGAGGAATCTATCTCCCAGCTCCTCCTCCCTTCTACATAGAGAGAGGGAAGAGCATCAAGCTTCCCTTTGGCATCTGTTAGATAGATGGATAGGGGTTGTGGATTGGGACGCCTGACTTTGTAAGACACAGATGACAGCTGCCCCCAACACACCAGATCCCCTCAGTGCATAGGTATGCTCCAGCCTGGCCACTGCTGAAGGCTGCCAGTGGCCCAAGCACTCCCTGGAGGTATGGCCAGCCCTTCCCTCCCCGGAACACAGGCCCTCACCTGGACCTCAAGGTTACACCCCTCGCACGTCAGAGGCCCCATCCTTCGTGCTAGCAGGCAAGTTATTTACCCTTGGATTAACATTCCAGACGCAGCTCTGGTCAAGCGACTTTCCCAGAAATTACCAAAGAAAAGCTAGCTTTGGCTAGGAAATAACCGGCTCCCTTCTAAAGAGCTCACAGATCCCTTAAAATAATGGACTTCACCAAGATCAAAAGCTTCTGCACAGCAAAGGAAACAGTCAAGAAAACAAAGAGGCAACCCACGGAATGGGAGAAGATATTTGCAAATGACAGTATAGACAAAAGGTTGATATCCAGGATCTATAAAGAACTCCTCAAACTCAACACACACAAAACAGATAATCATGTCATAAAATGGGCAGAAGATATGAACAGACACTTCTCCAATGAAGACATACAAATGGCTATCAGACACATGAAAAAATGTTCATCCTCACTAGCCATCAGGGAGATTCAAATTAAAACCACATTGAGATACCACCTTACACCACTTAGAATGGCCAAAATTAGCAAGACAGGAAACAACATGTGTTGGAGGGGATGTGGAGAAAGGGGAACCCTCTTACACTGTTGGTGGGAATGCAAGTTGGTGCAGCCACTTTGGAGAACAGTGTGGAGATTCCTCAAGAAATTAAAAATAGAGCTTCCCTATGACCCTGCAATTGCACTACTGGGTATTTACCCCAAAGATACAGATGTAGTGAAAAGAAGGGCTATCTGTACCCCAATGTTTATAGCAGCAATGGCCACGGTCACCGAACTGTGGAAAGAACCAAGATGCCCTTCAACGGACGAATGGATAAGGAAGATGTGGCCTGTATACACTATGGAGTATTATGCCTCCATCAGAAAGGATGAATACCCAACTTTTGTAGCAACATGGTCGGGACTGGAAGAGATTATGCTGAGTGAAATAAGACAAGCAGAGAGAGTCAATTATCATATGGTTTCACTTATTTGTGGAGCATAACAAATAGCATGGAGGACAAGGGGAGTTAGAGAGGAGAAGGGAGTTGGGGGAAATTGGAAGGGGAGGTGAACCATGAGAGACTATGGACTCTGAGAAACAATCTGAGGGGTTTGAAGGGGCGGGGGGTGGGAGGTTGGGGGATCCAGGTGGTGGGTATTAGAGAGGGCACGGATTGATTGCATGGAGCACTGGGTGTGGTGCAAAAACTACGAATACTGTTACGCTGAAAAGAAATAAAAAATTAAAAAAAAATAATATTACTATGGAAATATCACATGCTCCTTGTAAAAACTTCGGGACAGACAGATGAACAAAACAAAGAAGATAAACGTCTCAAATATCTCCTCTTCTCAGGTATATCTTTGTTACATGTTGGATCTGTCATTAAGTATTTTCAAATGAAGTACATCATACATCCATACTATATAAAAAAACAAATGTGCATGGTTTAAAGACTCTTAAAGAATACTAAAATGGATACTACCTTTCAGGTTAAGAGACAGAATTTACCAGTACCTGACTTGTCCCAGCAAGTACTTAGGTATGGAAACAGCCTACTGGGTTGTTCTGCCTGCACTTAATTAATTAATTAATTAATTAATTTATTTATTTATTGGCAGAGAGAGGGGTGGCAAATTATAGCTTCATTCTTTTTACAAAATAACGATTGATTCAGCAGCATTGGCATTTTCTAAATTGGGGCTAAATCTGGATGGTCTGTCTGAAATAAGGCTGTTCATGGATGACAATTGTCTCGAGATGAATCTTTTCTCTGCCTCACATGCCTTCCTTTGGCAAACATCCACTCCCCACAGCATGTGGTCCGGGTGGGAGGGCGATCATCGGGCCCCATCTCCCAGATGCCTCTCCATGTGGCACCTGCGACTGCTTGAGGGGTGAGCTCAGAACTCAGCCAGGGAGAAAGAGGGTCCCTCCCGTGACTGCTGAACCTTTCTTATGAGACAGAGAAGCTGGGAGCCCATGAAATAAGGCAGTCAGTCAGTGGCTCTCCTACTGAATTACTATCACTTGCGACCAAAAGACTTTTGCGCAGGGGTGCCTGGGTGGTGCGGTGGGTTAAGCATCCGACTCTTGGTTTCTGCTCAGGTCATGATCTCAGGGTCGTGATTTCAGGGTCTTGGGATTCTCTCTCTCTCCTTCTCCCTCTGCCCCTCTCCCACTGCTCACACGCTCTCTCTCTCTCTTTAAAAAGAAAAAAAAAAAAGACTTTTGTCTAATACACCAACACAGAGTATTATTTGTGGTAGACTATTTCTGGTAATAATATAGTCAGCAAAACAACCTTCTATGACAGTTTGTAAACACAACCAACTGGCTATACTTTATGACGGTAACAACCCTCTTCAACACTTTACACCTGTAAACAAAACAACTTTTACAATATTTTATAACTGCAAACACAAGTTAACATGACTGGAAGGACTCACCACTTATTTGACATTTTGAGTGCATATAAAGGCTTGAAAAATACTGGCTTAATGGGGTACTTGGGAGGCTCACTCAGTTAAGCGTCTGACTCTTGGTTTGGGCTCAGGTCCTGATCTCAGGGTCCTGGGATCCAGCCTGGACCCCAGACAGCGTCTGCACTCAGAGGGAAGTCTGCCTGAGGATTCTCTCTGCCTCTGCCCCTCCTCCCACTCAAGTGAGGTCCCGTGTGCTCTCTCCAAAATAAATAAATAAATCCTAAAGAAAAAAGAGAAAAATATTGGCTTATTTATCAGTTAATACACAGTTTCAGATACTAAAATTTTGATTACTTAATGCAGTTAGTGGGTTTTGGGATACATAATCTCTCAACATACATCTCAATCATTTTCACCTAGGTAATAAGCATTAATTTATATAATTTACTTTGGAATTAAAAAAAATTTCACCACTTGTAAAAAACAAACAAACAACCCAGAAAAATCCAAAGAAGGATTAAAACTATAAATCAAAAGTATTTAAAATTCAGATTTCCTTTTATATAAATGAAATCATGTTTTATGATTTTTTTCTCTAGCTACCTTTTATTGTTGTTGAACACTCTATTTTTGAGATTAAATTGTTCATGTTCCTATAGTTCCATTTTCACTGCTGTAAAGTATTCCATTATGTGAAAATACTCCAATTTATTTATCCATTCACCTGTTGATAGACATCTGAGTTGTTTTCCATTTTTTAAATCATTTCCCTTCTCATACTTGTTTTTGAATTTACATGATAATGGCCTCATCAAAACCCTGA